GGTGGTCTCAGGTGAGCCTGTGCCCTGTCGTACTAGAGACAGCGTGGTGTGCAACTATGCTTAATAGCTTTATTTGGATTCACCAGGTGCAGGTAACGTCTGAATGAAGCCCCGACGCAATCACAATCACTGCAGTCGGTGGAGTACATGCAAGGCAGAAACAACCCACGCATTCCATCAACATCCCTCACAACTCGACTGAAATATTTCGGACACAAACGTTTCTCATGCACATCATCTTTTCTTTGTAACAATCCACCCTGCACCATCAATAAATCTGCGCCAAGATTAGAACCGCTCCTGTTACAGAATCACCCCTGTGCCAATAACTAGCCTCTTTATGTTGTAACATGAGCCAAACATCGTGATAAGTAAACCTCAGGTGCTAATCAAATGGCCCTGAGGTTTAGATGCATCAGTCAGATCAACATTATGCTGATGCTAGACCGACCATCATTCAAATCCGACCGCCTCCGTGGTCTTGTGGTAGAGCGTCCGCCCGGAGAGCGGAAGGTCCAGGGTTCGATCCCGGGCCGCGTCATACAAAAAGACGTTAAAAGATTGTACTTGTTGTTACCCTGTCTGGCGCTCGGCATTAAGGGGCTAAAACAAGGACTGGTCGGCTCGGAGTCAGTATACTGTGTCTGAGTGGGGTATTCATGTTAAACTGCGGCATGGTATCTCAGTGAGCTAGCACTATAAATCGGCATCAGTCCGGACTAGTACAAGCAGCCACACACACACATACACGTGCATGCACGTCGCTATATAAGTGCAATAATCTTGGACGCGACGTTAAACCCAATTTCACTTCACTTCATTCAAATCCCTTATGGTATCCATAGAATTGACAACATAAGAAATTATCCGCTCTGTTCAAAGTTTTGTTCGGCCCCCTCAACCTTATCATCACCGTTATGTCTTAGTCTAACTCACTTTGTCCTTCCCCATACTGTGTTTTGGGTGTACACGGCTGTCTGTTCTGTAGCAGCGGCCTGGATGTTGATCAGCTTGGAGAGTGTGTCCATGTGGTCGTCACTGGAGGTGTCATCATGGTCATACACCTGCACCATTATTTCTATTGAGGACTGGAGAAAAGAACATGTATATTCTCTGCTTAGTTTGTTGTTTAACACTACAGACAGGAATATTCCAGCTAAGCTAAAAAGTATGTTATTAGTTAATGAGTGAGTTATGTTTAACGCCGCTTGTAACAGTATTCCAGTTATATCACTGCATGTCAGCTCAATGTGTGCAGGAAGGCCCTAAGTGATGCATGTCTTAGACGTTGACCACTTCGGTTAAACCCAAGTGCACGGGTATGGTGCTGACAAACCTAAAAACATAATCGAGGCGAATCAGGATTCGAACCCACAATCATAGGTTTCTGTATGCCCAAGGGACGCAACTCTGCACAGCGAATCGCGGCGCCTTAGACGACTGGGGCACCCGTGCCCCCTTTTAACTTTATCATTCACTTGATACATGTATTGTCTTTCTTCTAAATATGTAGAATGACGCTTGCAGACATTGAGCCTAATCTATGACGTGGCATTGCGTGACCTGTGTCTGTTAGTTTCATTATCAACATTCAGAGAATAGTTACAGATTCTTATATGTGGCTTGAAGATTTAACAATATAAGCTGACATGAATGTATTTTACCACTGAGTGTAATTAAAGTTTAGGTGACACTCCTACCGGTACTGCTGTGGACACAGGTATGATGATAGGATTCGCTATTCCTAGAATGCTGCTTCCAAAGTGGATCGTGTTATGGTTATCTATGTAGTTTGTGGTCCTCTTGTAAAGAGAGCACGGTGCTCTTCCGTCTGGCCTGGAATAACAGAGAATTGTTGTCTGATGCTGTCAAATCTACATGCAACATAACTCTACAGTAAAAACACGTCATTTTCCCCTCCTACACATTGTAAACCAAAGGCGTAAAGTCACTGTATTATTTTACTAAATGAAGTAAAATGCACTTAAGAATTGATTCATACAGTCTGCACATCGGTTTTTCGATTCATACCTCAATGAACAGACAAAATACACAGTCAATGCGTATAATTAAATTCGATAACGAAAACATACAATAGTTTAACCAAGAGATAACCGGAGACTACAGACGTTCTCGCGCACATCTGTTGTGACGTATATTACACGTGACTAAATCATTACTGAATTCGCTCCAGGGCGAATGTGGGTCCGTGTTTAATACTTCCTTCTGTTGTGGTAAATATTTACTTCCATTACTCACATCTGTCTGGAAGTACTGTGCAACGTCTGCTATTCCATGCTACTTTTCCATCTCAGTCAAATTCACGATGAAGTCCATTTTGGCATGTACAGCAAGTGCTTAGCAAGTGTAAATACTAGCCCTGGGATCCATACCTTATATGTCCTGGTCGCCTGTTGCTGTTTACTGCAGTCGCCAAACAAAGAGAGCGTCGCTAAACAAAGACAGCGTCCTCACTGCGAAGTGTTATTGTATTCATGGCGCCCGCAGGTGGAAGTGATCTGACTGAATTGCGTGTGAACGAAAACAGCTATGAAAGTAAAACTGTAACATAACATCTTTTGATTACGTGAGTGTTGTGTCACGCCGCACTCAGCAATACGGCAGCTCTATCACGGCGGCCTGTAAATAGTTAGGGACCAGAAAAGCCAATGCTAGACAGCATGAACAATCACACACTGATAACCAGGCCACCCGTTGTATAATCACCAGATCCTCTTTAACTGGCTCTTATGGAGTAGAACATGATGGCACAAAACGCAATATTAGGAGTGAGTAGGGTTTTACGGCGCTATTGCTAAACAATATTCCAGCAATATCACGGCGGGGGAACAACAGAAATGGGCTTTACGTATTGTACCCATGTCGGGAATCGAACCTGGGACTTCGGCGTGACGAGTGAACGCTTTAACCACAAGGCTACCCGACCAACAATATTAGGAAGAGCATCCCCAAGACAATAAATGTGTCGACCATGTCCGTGGTACGCCTTCTACTCGTTTGATGATGGGGTAAGGTGTAGCAATTGGTCGTCATGAAAAACAGATTAATTTACACAATATCTGCATCACTTCGGGCATTCCTCACAAATGAAGTTGACACCAGTGTTATAACTGAAATACTGCCCAAAGGGGCGTTAAACCCCCAAACGTTATTGAAAACGTCATGACTGATGAAGAATACTTTTCCACAATGTTTTAATTACGTTATATTTCCATTATTTATTAAGATTGAAACAAGCCACATATGTCCTCTGTTACATCCAACTTCGATTGCCAAAGAAACAGTTCACTCTAAGCATTGAACATGATAGAATGAGTCCGCCATCAATATAATAAACTGCCTTTAATGCGTAAGTGAAACTACAGAGGCTACACAAATGTTACTATTTATACATGACAGTTACATCTTAATTACGTGACGCAAATAGAACGACATCACTAAAGTATAAACTCTGCTGCAGAGATGACTTGGAAGTTTTGGTTACCAAGAAGCACATATGTATCCACTTTGAACATTGTAAAGGCTAATTAAAGACTAAGCATATAAGTATATTTATTCCAAGAACGATATCTTTACAGTGATATATATGGATGCGTCCTCGATCAAGTCTATGGACTTTAGTGGTCACTGGACTGCCTTAAAAGGTGTATCAAAGGCCTGACTCACGGCGTTTTACATGTTTTATCTGTTAGTTTCGGATCTGTTGTGTTGTGGAAATACAGTGACAAAGCGAAGTTAGTAAATGATATTTTGCAGCCAGCAATGTCATGGCGGCATGTAAACAATCCGCTATCAGGGATACAGTGAGATACAATCGGTCTGCTCACATATTAAAACGAACCTGTCTTCATTGTAGTCGGCTTTTACAACAAACATGGAAGATTGGTGACGTTTCACCGTACCTCAATGGGTATGGATATGGCAATCTATTATATCATACATTGATTGAGAAATATTTGTGTAGTTACGCCAAAATATTAGCTAAGACATTTTTTAAACAGTTCCATCCTCACATTGAATGACCAAGCCACACATAGTTGATCAATGTGTTTTTTATGAAGTGGGAAATTGACTCAAGTCTTGGTTTGGGTTTGGCGCCATTTCATTCATATTACAGAAATCTCATTTTGTTATCTGGAACGATTACTCAGCTACTCTAATGTCAACAAGCGCGAGTTCTCATTTGTATTAATGTCGATTGTTTCGAGAATATTATTCAAGGAAATAGAAATCTTATAAAATTATTTACAATGCATGTATGGACGACAATTGTCTGCATGTATTATCAGTTATTCTTTGTCTAGTAATCGCTGCATGCGCCTTGTGTTTCATGCCTAACCTCTCTTCAAAAGTTGACATGTGGAGTAGCACAAGTCTCGTGAATAACTTGACAGTGAATAAACAAAACTTAGAGATTATTCTTTTTGCAAACTTGAGTGAGTGAGTGAGTGAGTAAGTATGGTTTGACGCCGCTTTTAGCAATATTCCAGCAATATCACGGCGGGGGACACCAGAAATGGGCTTCACACATTGTACCCATGTCGGGAATCGAACCCGGGTCTTCGGCGTGACGAGCGAACGCTTTAACCACTAGGCTACCCGACCGCCCTTTGCAAACTTGAACTTGCTGCTAGTCTATAATGATTAAGACACACCTGCATATATCTGATACGATATGTACATCATGTAATTGATCCCTATTTACTAACTAGACTCCATATCTATCTGGATAAGTAAATATAAGAAAATTATCAGTATTTATAAATGGCTGAGTGAGGTCGGAGCGAGTTGGGTTTACATCGCCTTAAACAATATTCCATCCAAAACAAGTGAGAGATCGAACACAGGCCTTTGGCGTGACGAGCTGGCCCTTTCACAACAGACTACCCCCACGGACCCAGGTTTGCGTTCATGTTTTCGTGTCCCACATTCATTACATCAAACGCAAACAGATTCTACATATTGTGTGATTATCATGGGATTAGAACCCGGTCAGCCGCCGTGCAAGTCAATGATTCAACCACTGAGCTATCAACCGCTTCTGACACACTCGGATAGTTGCGATGACAGTGCGGTGTTGGCATTCCGGTCTTCTATCAGTCTCATGGCAGAGATGCTTTTAATGTCTTACATTGTCTATAGTATATTAGATCAGAATGGCATCAAACGCAGTGTTCATTTTAACTATAATTAACGTTAAGAGCTGATTTAGCAAAGAGAAGTATGTCAAATATACATAAAACGTCAACCTCAGAGAGAATAACCAGTCTAGCCTAACAGAAATTCGGCGTATGACCAAATTACTGGCGAAAAAATATATGAATGGATCACTGAAAGTCCACTGACACCAGGTGATAACGATACACATGTCCTTTCGTTATTCTTATTAGTTGACAATACATCGTCTGGGGCAACTAAAACTACATGTTTAAAACAACAACATCGACATAAGGGTCTTCCTCTGAGATGTTCTCAACATTAGTGTCATCGGTGAGAGTGCTGTCTGTATCCTCTTCCTCACAACGATCGAGCGGTTCATGGTTGATGGTCTGACGCAGATGGAGCACATCAAAAAGCAGATGTGCAGCGACATGATGGCGAGCTTCGAATGTCGCTTCGTCATGAAGACCCGTGTTGACAGATTCCAAAACGCTTGCACCACGTAGACTCCGCAGGTCAAGGGTCATATCTCCAGTTCCGTTGTGGATATTTGATGTGGCATGGCGGTGAGTATCGAGTGGTGTTATGTCACCATGACGCGCGTTGTCATCTGGAGAAACGCTTGCAGCCTCTTGGCTCCACGGGACAAGGGTCATATCTCCAGTTGCTCCGTGGATGTTTGATGCGTCATCACAGTGTGTGTCGAGTGCCCCTTCATCTACGTCATGGAAGTGAAGACATGGGTTACCATCTGGAGATACATTTGCACCCTGAAGACTTCCTGTAATTGTACCAGGTCTGTTTGGGTTCCTGTTGCGTGGCACATCCATCCCAAATGAGTCGATTTGATCGTTTTCGTCTTCTATGCATTGTGACGTGTCTCTTGAAATTGGAAAATTAACAGTTGTTCACTTCAATGCTTGATAAAACAAAAACGAATTCTTTTCGAATGTTATTAGTGCCCAGAGCATTATAATAAATCATATAAGTTTTATGTGCCCGCTTAACGAGTCTATAAAGTTCAGGGCTACACATATCTACAACATAGCTATGAAATCATTTTTAAAACCCCAAAGCGCGCTCCCTGTATCGGTATATATCAATACGATGCAAGAGAACAATATCTTCACATTTATGAAACTTTACTGGTTACATGGGTTGACAATTCTCTTAGCCGTGTCCCACGTGTTGGGTGTTGGGGGCCTGATGAATCGTGTCAGAAACAGAAAATTGTTTCAGGCTTACAAATAAATATCTCTAAAAGGAGGAGCCGAGCAGTGTATTCAGGACATCCAACATCGTGAGCAACCATCTTTTGTATGTAAAACCTGAGGTTAAACTATATTCTTTCAAAACAATCCCAGTTCAAATGGACGGTGCATGATATGTCTTGAGGGATCAGCTCGATTGTATTAAGAGGTCTGATTGACACCTCTCTTTGTACAACGCAATAAGTTAATCAATTGGTATGTCATGTACCACTTACGATCTTCTTTTCCAGATGCCAAAAGCCATCAGAGGGAGTACAATCATTAGGACAAGTCCTAAAGGCAGTAGAACGACCAACACATACTGGTCGGTGTCCCAACTGTCATGTGGTCTCTGAAATACGCATGTATTGACCTGTAGTAATCTAAACTGATCTAATCAAAGAAAGTGTTACGACATTAACTTGCATATCAAATAAGAATAGTGTACCCGAGAATAAAATTGATTTATGATTTCAAATGTTACTTTAAGAGGCGGCTAAATAGATTGGGTGTTCAGGATCCGTGACAAGACCGATTGATGGTCATTGTATCTCATGTGTGTTGATTCCTGCCCATGTCGTAAATCACTGGATTGTCTGGTCCAGCCTCGACAAGTTCAGACCTATGGCTGGAATACTTCTTAGTGTGGCGTCACACAACAACAAAACAAACGAATATACGTCCTTACAAAAGGCAATACATTTTGTGTTATTTTGTTATATAGACGTTAACAAGGCATCGACAACAACCTCTGTTGGCATCGTGTAGTTTACCTTCGCCGTCGACTTCTCTTCTTGTCGGGGAGAGTACAACGGAAGAGGCAGATATTCATTGAGGACTTCATCACGGTTGGATTCGAAGATCACATTTACTGAAGCACTGTCCAGAAAGGCGCCGTTCTCCAAAGCTGAATAGAGTTGTACGTACGTTGTAGTATAACTGAAATATATATTCAAAACAAACTTAGTTGAGATCGTGACATTCATTGCAGGACTGAATACTCAAATTCTAAAGTCAAGTAGGCCCCTATTTGTCATACTGGTATAGCAGCATCCTGTTTGTCACTCGGGGGCACGGGTAGCCCAGTCGTTTAAGGCACCGCAGTTCTCACTGAAGAGTTGCTTCCTTGGGGTAAGCCAAGACCTATGATCATGAATTCGAATCCCTGTTCGCCCCGATTTGTCAGCACCATGACCTGCATCACTTGTGCTTTCCTTCCACATTGCGCTGACATGCCATGATATAACTGGAATACTGTTGGCGATATATCCAACTCACTCATGCAGTCATTCACATACACTCATTCACTGTCTATCACTCACTTGCATTCTGTTTGTGTATTTGTTGTAAACGTGACATCCACTTTTCCTGGAATTTCCCCAAGTTCTGCAATGAGTCTGTTCAAGCCATCAGTCAGGTCACCTCTGTTTGTGTGATCAATCTCTCCCAGGAGCGTGATGTTGACAGTGTCTGAATACAAAGAACATGAGGTTTTTAGGAATAATTATAATGTCATCCAAAGCCTGTATGAAATAATTATTGAAAATGAAGTCTTTGGCTATTTTATCCATTCAAATGTGTTACTTTATTATTAGACAATTCATGATGACGAAATAGTCATTTAAAGAAAAACGTGATTAAGCAAAAATAGCATAATTAATCGCCATGAAATCCTCTTTGTCCTTAATTCCATTTTAGTTTTGATAGAACAAGAAATGCCTTTACTTTGGTCTCAAAATGTGTGGATCAGATCCTCATCAACAATCGTTATATCAAACAATGTACACAGTCATCTGACTCAATACGTTGGCTCGATACACTGTCCAGAAGGAAAACCAAAAACCATGTAACCTGTGTCTTGTCTGACGGCATCTCCATTTCCTGTTATGTGGCAGTTCATATCGTTACTTTGTTGCTGATGTTAGTTAGTGGTACATTGATTGAGGCGTTCGTATAATATTGACCTTGGTAGTGACCTTGATAAAGAGTGACCTCCCTTTGATGTTAATGGTCAACCTCCATCCCAGCGCGTGACGCCTTCGCTGCTATCACATTGTTGAGTTTTCAGCTGTGGGGAGCTTGCCTTCTTCCTTGTTTTACATTTGTTGATGTACGGCATTATTCAAGTCTCGCGAATTCTCTAGAAGGAAGTGGGACACAGGTGGCCCAGTCGTCTAAGGCGCCGCGATTCAATGTGCAGAGTTGCGTCTCTTTGGCAGGCCAGAAACCTATGAATGTGGGTTCGAATCCCGGTTCACCCCGATTATGCTTCTAGGTTTGTCAGCACCATACCTGTGCTCGTGGGTTTCGCCGAAGTAGTAAACGTCTTAGACCTGCATCAATTCAGGCTTTTCCCCCACATTAAGCTGACACGCCGAGACATAACTGGAATACTGTTAAAAACGGCGTTAAACCCACCTCACTCACTCACTATAGAAGGCAGCTGTGCTTGTATAAGTGTGAGACGAGGGCGTCAACCTACTTGCCTATTCTGCCTGTTTGCTGGATTCTGGAATGCAGCACGGGACTCACTCAAGACATTCATATTAACATCTAAGACAACATCACACCTACCCACACTTTGGCTGCATCTTTTCCCCACCCATGCAAAATCACAATCACACTTGAACCCATTTGCCGTCAAGTGGTCCGGTGTACAAGTCCCTCTGTAACAGGGGGCGCTGGCACAGAAATTAACCATCTCTTCGCATCTCTCTCCAGTCCACTCAACTGAGCATGCGCAGTTGAAGCCTGTTTCGTTTCCGTCGCATGTTCCTCCATTCAGACACGGCTTCAGTGCACACTGGTTGGTGATGTTTTCACATCGTCTTCCTGAACAAAGTTGAAGTATACAGCGAATAACAAGCAGCATATGATATGGGGCTTAACGTCGCGTTCTTCCTCTTGAGCGTTACTACCCGTGAAGATCCGGGGTAGATGGATCTTCAGCAACCCATGCTTGCCGTAACAGGCGACTATTCTTGTCGTAGGGGGCGACTAACGGGATTGGGTGGTCAGACTCGCTGACGTGGTTGATGCATGCCATCGATACCAATTGCGTGGATCGATGCTCATGGGGTCAATCACTGGATTGTCTGGTCCAGACTCGATTATTTACAGACCGCTGGAATATTGCTGAGTGTGGCGTTAAACAACAAACCAAACAACCAAATGTTGAGTTACAGCCGGTGTTTCAAGCATTTATACCTTGTATTGAAACGCTAAATAAATTTGACAAATTGCTTGCACATATGAATCTGTGTGCCCGCGTTTGTGTGTGCTTGGTTACTTGGTTTGTGTGTGTGCATGTGTGAGGACTCATATTTTAGAAAATGGGGGAGCACTTAACAAATTCGAGAACCAAATTAATCCATTTATTGTTACTTTTTGTTTTGTGTGTTTAATACTTCCACTCGATTACTATAAATGTGCGTTGATAGGGGAGGTTGTATTGTTGAGGGGGTGGGGAGTACGGAACCTTGCACTCCCCACCCCATCTCTGCCCGCGTATCGAGAGTTTAGGCCTTTGTAGAAACTATGTATTACTGCCATACCATTGAGGGGGACACGAATTTCACATATTGTTACCATAGAGAAGCAAAAATGCCATGTGGTCTGTTTCTCTTGGGAATCCAAATGTAGATTAATATCAGATAAAGTCTACTCACCTTTGATCCCCACGAAACAAATGCACTCAAACCTTCCGGGTGTATTTGTACAAATGCCTCCATGTTGACACATGTTAATTTCTGTGCATTCGTCGATGTCCTGATCGCAGTTGTCGCCCTCCCAACCTGCAGTTGTATTAATGAAATGAAGCATCACTGGGCGATACCCTGTTAATCGGGACACCGTAAGTTCCACAACCCACTAAATGATCAGTGTGACATGAATGTCTAAACATGAATCAATAATCCTGAATGAACTAATCCGACCGAACGGGTCTCATTGTACAGTGAACTACGGTTATAACGAACTCAAAGGGACCAATATGTTTTGTTCGTTATAACCGGAGTTCATTATTAGCGTTTGAACTAAAGCATACCGCAAATGCCCGGGACCAAAAACAACGGTTCGTTATATCCGTGACGTGTTCGTCATAAACGTAGTTTATTTTACGTTGGAACCACTCTAATGCGAAAGGGTCATAATACAACTTCTTTGATCGGCATTTAGAAGTTGGAGTACTAAGGAATGACAAGAATTTATGGATGAACAATTAAGAGCAACGTTTCGGTGTAGGCTCTAACACCGTTACCAAGCAAATGAACACAATTAAAGCCACGGGGAAACCATCATCCAGTCACAAGCTAGAACAATCAGGAGCAGCGTACCACATTCCATGCAATTGTAGACAAGCTTACATAGGAGAAACATCTATGCCCCTCAAAACCCGAATAAAAGAACATCAAAGCTCAGTCTTCAAAGATGACTCTAAATCAGCTCTATCAGATCACATCCGTGACAACCCAAGCCACAAATTCAGTGGGAGAGAGTCACAACCCTCGCCACCAACCTCAAAGACTTCAAGATCAGGAAACTACAAGAAGCCATCAACATATAAAAACTCCAGCCGTCAATCAACCGTGACCAAGTCTATTACATACCCCCGGCGTACCATCAACTCATCAAAGACTCCAATCAGCCATAATCCCATTGTTTATATTACAAGCTTCATCCTTTGTTTATGTCACTGACTTCACCGATGATTGTCATTACTAATAAAAAAACACTACAGGTAACTGCCCATACTGAAAACAACTAGAAACCCCAGAACACGCACTCATCCACTGCACACATTACCTCACACATCGAACCGCATTACAAACCACCCTCAATCTAAACAAGGCTCTCACTCTAGAAGCAATACTTAACCCACAAAATAAACTAGAAAACTTCAAGGCCTTAGGCGTATTCTTAATCAAAACGGAACTAATAAAACGCATCTAAAAACACTATAATCTACCAAATCAAAATCACATAAACAAACAAACATCCACCATACCCAGCTCCCTTAGTTCTACTCCCAAACCCCATCGGCATCTATTCCAAATCTCAAAATTCCCAAAATTTATATAAGCAACCCCTCTTGGGTTGCAGACACCACTTTCGCCCCTTTCGGAAACACATTAAATGGCCTGGCCGGGCCCGTGTGCGAAATACGCATCAGTCGGAAAGCGCACATTAAATCTCCAAAGTAAGTACTGTAAATAACTTGCTTGATAATAGTGTTAGAACCAACACCGAAACGTCGCTCTTAATTGTAATAAAGAAGTTGTTCATCGATTAATTCTTGTCCTTGCTTGTCATAATACAAGACAAACACAATCGCACTTTCTTTTGAAAATTAATGTATAATGCAGTAACAAACTCAACATTGACATCAACCTTCTGAACATACCTTCAAAGCACACTTTTGCTCCTGTGTGTGCGTGGCACGTGTAGTGACTCGGGTCAGTGGTTGCCTTGCAATATTTCTCACACACTGACCCGTACCAGTCCGGGTCGCAGTAGGCACGGACCTGAATCTGTAACCTGAAATTATAATTCAATCCAAACATTTCAGTTTGTCATATTGTTCTCTCATCTTGCTGTGCAAATTCATATGAATGAAACACTTTGATTTAGGTGCCTCATCATATAATCACTGCCACAATTGCTTCAATTTGTCTGAAAGGGTTATGGCTCGGGGTTATGGTCGAAAGGGGTAATGCAATATTGTTCCACAACCTGGTTCAACAAATTTGGTAAGGGGAGGTAAGTTGAATTATTCAGAAAATGATCGAAGTAAATGGTGACAAATTTATGACGGCAACTCGGAGGAGGTCATGGGTAAACCTGTGTTCTGTCGTACTAGAGATAGCGTGGTGTGCAACTAAGCTTAATAGCTTCATTTGGATTCACCTGGTGCAGGTAACGTCTGAAACAAGCCAAGCATTTCATCAACATCCCTCAGATCAGCCAGCACTTCAATGTTTATTGCACCAGCAACTCGACTGAAATATTTCAGACATAAACGTTTCCCATTCACACCATCTTTTCTTTGTAACAATCCACCCTTCACCATCAATGAATCTGCGTCACTAAACAGTCAAGATTAAAACCGCTCCTGTCACAGAATTATCTCTGTGCCAATGACTAGCCTCTTTATGTTGTAACATGAGCCAAACATCATTATAAATAAACCTTGGGTGCTAATCAAATGGCCCTGAGGTTTAGATGCATCAGTCAGATCAACATTATGCTGATGCTGGACCGACCAAAACCCAAACAGTATCCTTGAATAGACAACATAGGAAATTATTCGCTCTGTTCAAAGTTTAGTTCTGGCCCCTTAACTAATTCTATTGTATCATCCCAGTCATGTCTTAGTCTGACTCACTTTGTCCTTCCCCACACTGTGTATGGGTTGTACACGGCTGTCTGTTCTGAAGCATTGGCCCGGATGTTGATCCGTTTGGAGAGTGTGTCCATGTGGTCGTCACTGGAGGTGTCATCATTGTCATACACCTGCACCGTTATTTCTATTGAGGTCTGGAGAAATCAACATGTATATGCTTAGTTTGTTGTTTAACACTACAGACAGCAATAATCTAGCTTAGCTAAAAAAAATTGCTCTTACTTAATGAGTGCGTGAGTTATATGTTTAACGCCGATTTTAACAGTATTCCATCTATATGACGGCGTGTCAGCTTAATGTGGGAGGAAAGCCCTAAGTAATGCAGGTCTCAGACATTTACCACTTCGGTGAAACCAACGAGCACGGTCATGGTGCTGACAAACCTAGAAATATTATAGGGGCGAACCAAGCGACGTAACTTTGCACAGCGAATTGCGGCGCCTTAGACGACAAGGCCACCCGTGCCCCCTTATTGCTTAATCATTCACTTAATACATGTATTGTCTTTCTTCTAAATATGTACAATGACGCTGGCAGACATTGAGCCTAATCTATGACATGGCATGGCGAGACCTGTGTCTGTTAGTTTTACTATCATCATTCACAGAACAGTATAAGGATTCTTATATGTGGCTTGAAGATTTACAATAAAAGCTGACTTGAGTGTATTTTACCACGGAGTGTAATTTAAATTAAATTACCGGTACTGCTTTGGGCACTTGTATGATGAAAGGATTTGCTGTTCCTTGAATGCTGCTTCCAAAGTGGATTATGTTGTGGTTATCTATGTAGTTTGTGGTCCTCTTGTAAAGAGAGCATGACTGTCTTCCGTCTGGGCTGGAATAACATAATATTGTTATATGATGCTGTCAAATCAACAGGTAACATAACTATACATTGGACGTAAAGCATTTTCCCCTCCTACATATTTTAAACCGAGTTGGTATTAAAGGCGTAAATTCACTTTATTATCTAACTAAATCAAGTGAAATGCACTTAAAAATGGCCTCAAAATAGTTTCAAGTCCAGAAACACGTGACAAACATAATCAAGGTGATTCTATTACTAATACACGGTGATTCTTGATTCATGAGGAGGAAGGAAATACCTAAACTATTTTCACAGAAGAATCAGAAAGACAACATTAAAATAACCTTTGAGTGATGTACTTAACCTGATATATTAATGGTAACAGGGGTCCGGGTCATTTATTTACATGAGATACAATAGCCTACAAATAGAACACTGTCCCTAAATTAACATGTCTCACTCGTATAGTTTGTCAATAAATATATAAAAAGTACCTACCCATCAATGCACCAGATAAACATTGGATCACATTTATCAATACACAAAGAACAAGCTTCATTGTCGCAACATTGTCCACTCATTCCACGGTACTTACCCATCAATGCACAGGGTAAACTTTGGGTCACATTTATCATTGCACCAATTGGTGAGATCACTGTCACAACAATGCCTGCTGATTTCCATCCCATCTGACCAGTAACTGATGAACCGAATGTCCAGTTTGCCGTCAGTCTTCACATGCTGTTACGGTATTAATATACGATTCAGACATTTGTATATAGTAGAAAGTAATATCATCTTGAATGTGATATAATAACGTTGACATGAAGAATGTCGAATAAAGTTCGAATTTCTTTCAGTTTCAATTGCCTCCAAAGAATTCAAAATGATTGTGTTCAATCCACATACATCGTAAATCGTGTATCTGTTTTTGGTAACAGGTGCTCGCCTATTCTTAAACATGTTATAGTGTTGACTGCTGGTCATGACACGTTTCCCTATGGGACAATGTTGCGTTTATCCATACTTGCATTTAGTCATATAAGGCAAGTTTACGATGCAAATAAGTTTTGATCACGATTAGAATGCAACCATATACGTAAGTGTGATATGTAATATACAAAGTCTAGTTTTTAATGCTGTAGGGAATATTTCCATACCCATACATATTTTATTCTCACAGGCACTATGTTTAATACGGTGTTACCTCATGACACTTCAGAACGAGCTCTTTCATATGAACTGAGGTGATTTATTATATCAGCTTATATCTGTTAGCTTGCTTGGTCAACAGGAGGCAAGGTGCCTGGGGTGGCCCAAACGTTTAAGGCGGCGCAATACGCTGTGCAACGTTTCGCCCTCATGTCAAATTCTTGTGATCGTGGTTTCGAATCCAATACTCGCCATGATATGTACCCATTTTTTGTCAGTACCATATCCGTGCTCATTGGTTTCATTTTAACCATTTTGCTAAAATATGTAACTAGGAGGACAAATGGCAGTCTGTGAAAATGAGGGAAGTCCTCAGAGAGAAAGGAGTTGGTATAGCCAACGACCTGACCAACACACAGAGACAGGAATTACTTAGACTTAGAGCCGAGAATCCAAATACCAGGTATTTAAAATCAAATTAAAATTAAAAGGAAACAAAATTGTTGAGGTTGATAAGGAGGAGAATATATAGATAGAGCACAACCGAACACCTCGCGACCCACACAAGAACGTTGACACTGGTGTTGAACATCAACGACGATATACAACTGGATCACGACGACTGACCAGATTCAACTCCCGCCCGTCCGGCAGGGGACATACCAGGAATGGGGCCAGGGTCATGTTAGAGACAGCACCCGAGATTATATGACTCTTCCTGGTGCCATAAAAACAGACACTTGTGATAAATATGAGGACTTGTTTTTGAATTTTATATTTTTGGTATATTTCCGGTATTTCACAAAAGTTAACAGAAACTGACTTCTTGAACTAACAAAAGTGGTTCGACGTAGTTGGAATAACTGGAACATGGACTAACAGTTTTGACCTACAATATGCTTTCCCAGATCATAAAGTTATTACTAAGGATGCGGATAAAATATCAAACAGTGGAAGACATTCGGGTAGGATATTAGTATTGATAAAAGACAGTTTTCCAAATATGTAAAAATGGTACAAAATAACATAAAACACTATTTAGTCTTGATTCTGATTTATTATATTCATGTTTGTATGTCCACCCGGAAGGTTCAACCTGGTATAACAAACTTGGCTTGTATTGCAAAAATGGAATAACAATGTTTCAAGATAGACTTATAGACATACTATCTAATCTCCCGAATGTATACTACTCAAAAGAAGTTAAAGAACACCCAATTCTTTCATATTACTATAGTTAATCTCACATGCCAAGACAGATTAGCTATAGTAATATGAAAGAATCGGGTGTTCTTTAACTTCTTTTGAGTAGTATATATATAGTTTGTGTAGCGGAGATTTTAATGCTCGTACAGGCACCAAATCCGATTCTGTAAGGACGACATAATTGACCGCACTGAAAGTCAAAATCACTCCATATGGGATTTCCTTCTTGATTTTTTTAACGTCCAGCGATTCTCAGCTGACAAAACTGTAAATGTCTGTTAGATCTATGTTCAGTGTTACATGTTCATATTATGAACGGACGACGTGGCACAGATTCCCAAGTGGGAGATTATATGTTTATATGTGCAAATGGCGCAAGTGTAATTCGTTATGTTATTGCCTCATCATCGCTTTTCGAGTACACGAGTGATTTTACGATACCGTCACGTACTGAATCGGCACATCTTCCGCTCACATTGAAATTACGCTTGCCTCACATGGACCGACAGTTATCCGATGAAAGTAAATGTGATAGGTCGTTTAAGTTTGTATGGGATTATGACAAACAAGAGCTCTTTCGACAAAACTTTTTAACAGATAGTGTTCCAAACTTACTCAATAAATCTGTCGAAAAAGCGTTTAACAATATTGATAGCAGCGTAGAATATCGTAGAAGTGATATATTTGGCTGGTGCCGATATGAAACGACAAGTCCGTAATGTAAAATCAGATGTTGTTGTTAATAAATGGTTGACGCTGAGTGTGAGAGATTGAAAAAGGTAAGATGCAAACTTTTAAATAGGTTTAGAAAACAGAGCGACACTAATTCGCTTGATGAGTACAATTGCATAAGAAATAAGTATAATGCTGTGTGTAGACAAATGAGAGATACATTTTATAAACAGGAACAACAATGTTTGGGGAAAAAAGCATATATGATTCTAAAAGATTCTGGTCTATCCTCAAAAGTTTAAATAAAAAGCATGCATCTAGAAATAATATTACCACCAATGATTGGTACCAACACTTTACAAATCTTTTTTGTCATACCCCACCATTGAAGACGCAAAGCCTACAGTACCAGATAGATCCGCTCGATATGATACAAACAAAAATGTTACCGAGGATATTCCTGATTCTCCAATAACGAGGGATGAGATTTTAGACAGCATATATAATCTTAAAAGAATTAATATTTAATTTGATATTAGAAAAAAAAAATGGACATTTTCCAAATTCATGGTCGATTGGTATTATCATCCCAATCCATAAACAAGGTGATATAAATAACGTGAATAATTACAGAGGTATTAACCTTTTAAGCATATTCAGTAAGATAGTTACATCTATTGTTAACAAGAGATTAGTGTTCTGAGGGTATGCTCGGAATCGCGAAAAGATCACTAGAGATATTGATGGTGGCTGGACATGCAGGATACATCATTTCCAGTGTATGCAGGCACCTCGTCTTTGTTTCACTCGGTATTTGAAACTTTGATATACAAGGCTACGGCCACCAAGCCATTCACAGGTGCATATGTCTATTTACAATGAAGTTGTTTGGCGTTCCCAGTATTATATACTATCACTGATTACTTGTAAACTGGTCACTGCAAGTGCATTAATTATTTAAATTTCAGTGAACTGGGTTTATTCACATGCTAGTTTTCATAGATTCAAGCTTAGTTAGAATCCTTGTTTATCTGGTTTAACTGGTCTTCCAACTGGTGACATTTTAGTGATAGATGAAGTTTAATACCTTTGGACTACATGTAACATGGCTGGTTTTACGAGGTGCTTGACTGCCTCAGCAGTTCATGATCAATTACATTTCTTTTTGGGTAAACAAATCAGTCACGTTTGCAACAATAGATTAATAAGTTGATAAATTTGGACTGCAATTACCGTTTAACAACTTAAGATATAGAGACAGGTAGTTGATATATAACCAAAGTTATGGTCCTGTTCAGACGCTTGACGTTGGAGTAAATGAAGCAACTAATTTGAACATTCCCCGGTAATACTATACGTCAAAAAAGGGGTGTTAAAAAGCTATCAAAGTTTTCTTTTATTGAACACAATATTTGCACTTAAACATAAGTAAGGATAAGATTTATGGATGAACCACTTCTTTATTACAATTAAGAGCGGCGTATCGGTGTAGGTTCTAACACTATTATCAAGCAAGTTTACCAACACCAAAACGTCGCTCTTTAATGTTTTAAAGAAGTTGTTCATCCATAAATCTTATCCTTACTTAGTACTGCAACTTCTACATGCCTATCAAAGAAGTAACGTAAACATATATGTGTAACATATATGTGTATGATCTTCATATGCCACTCTGTGGCCTGAAAAGCAAATAAAGTTGTGTCTTATGACCTCTATTATCCCTGCTGTCGCTATGATAATGTTCAATTTCAGTCTGCCACACCAAGCGTGAATAAGCGTTATACAAGTGTTGATAAACCACAAGCGTTATATACAAGTGTTGGTGAACCACACTGACGCAAGCGTGAAACAAGTGTTGATAAACCACACTGACGCAATTCAGCAAAAACATATTTGGTGTGGGCAAATACCTTGCTTGTAGATATGAAACTTTCTAGTTAATTGTGGATACACTGGGCTACACATACATAACAAAACCCCAAAGACAGATG